AAAAAAAAAAAGAAAGAGAAGAAGCGAAAGAAAGGGAAGAAAAGGGGAAAACGATGAAACAAAGGACTAAAAAAAAAGCAGGAAAAATGAAAAGAAGCAGAAGACGGGAATTAATAATAATGTATTAAAAGAAAACAAAAACAAAAAAAAAAGATGCACGCGACTTTGAAACTAAATAAAATTTCTTTCTCCTGGCCTTTGCAGGCCAAACCAGATATATCAATCCAGAGATTACACATGATTAATATCCACGAAAAAAAGTTTCTACTACGTAGTACGTCTAGATATACTTACGTATATTGTGTATAGTATCTAAATGCTGATGTAGCTGCGAGCGCGGGATATTCGTCAGAAGAGAGAACCACCCGAGAGAAACAAAGACGGAAAATTCGGCTATCTTTGCGATTACGTATATACATATTTACAACCAGGCGCTTTAGACCATATCCGGACACGCGTGCGTTTACATGTGGTCAGGCGCAGTACCTTCGCATAGAGTTTCGTTTATTAACCACGTTGTATTACACGTACAAGCGCATAACTTTTCAAAATTACCTCTTGCCACGTCACTTTACGTCGGGAATGCGAACACCAATAGTATTTCACCATTGAAAGGGGGAAGAGATGACAGTTTTGTCGTTTGTATCTCATTGCGAAAAGTCATCATAGATAACGGGATAAAGTTCTTGTAATTTCAAGGCATTTCGTTTCGTAAAGAAAAAAAAAAAAAAAAAAAAAAGAAAAAAAGAACAGATTTACGGCGTGTTATGCGATTGGAGCCTAGATCTGTGTAACGGATTCGATCGAAACGGCTCCTGACGAAATGTCAGCTCGTGCACGAAACCGTAGCGTTGCGGCTCGTCTTTCTCACGACGTTCGTGCTGTTTCCATTCTTCAGTCGAAGGTGAAAATCAATTCTCGAGGCTTGGAGGCATGCACAACGTCTCGAATGCGAGACGAGAACAAGACGCAGCCTCAGCGAAACACACACGTACGGACAGAAAATAGGGGAAAAGAAACGAGTG